AAGTTGCTTAGGGTTCTTTACTATGTTAGGGACATGAAACCTAATTTCTTTAATTGTATCCATTGATTTTCAAAATTTCCCAAGTTATTTGGTTTAGGGTCTCTAATTTGAGGCTTTCTTAACTAGTCTTGTCATTTGAATTTTATTTTCAATTATCCCTTATAATTCAAGAACCCTAAGTGTTTGATTGTTACTTTTATAAGTCTTGAGGACTGTAAAAAATTTATTTGATTTGTAAAGGTTTTGTTCGATTAAATTGTTCATGTGTGATTTTAGGCTTTGAATCGTGAGATATCAGGTATGCACTTGTGAAGCCTATAAGTAATCAAGTTCATTATTCATTATAATAGAATGGTTTGAGCCTTGAGTTAATGTCTATTATCCATTCAAGTTCTCTAACATCTCAACTTTGTTTAGAGGTCATTTACTTATCTTTTATGATCATGGTTTAGGAGAATGTGTTTGTACATTTCCAATTGAGTGTCATTGATCCAAAAAGGTTGAAGTCCATTTACTTATACTTATTAACTCATGCCTTATGACCTATAAATCAATTCTCCTTTGATTCTTTGATTGACATTTCATTGTCAATTCATCATGATGACAAGTTAGGAGCCACATTCTTTGTTTTGACCTAGTTTATATGTGATGTGTGATGAATGTTCTTGAAGACTTTGAGTCAAATATTTCTATGTTTAAGTTTTTATCTTAACATCTCTTCTCAACTTAATTCTCGATGCTTCTATGATCTTTTTGGTTAGTATTCACTTGCTAACCAACATGGTGACACATTAGAAGCTACATTTGCCTTCTAATTTATGTTTTGATCATCATTCTTTAGCGATTGCCTCATGAGATTTTGTTCTATGTCTCTTTAAGGTATATTGATGTTGGCTACTTCCCATAACATCTAATGACCTTAACTTTGATCTAATTAGATCACCAATTCTTGTAGGCATTAGAGATTATATATTTTACTAGTTTGTCATGACACTTGAGCATGTTGTATTAATGACATTGCTTGAGGCTCCAAGTTCGTGATAGATACTTTAAGATGAAGTTTGCTACTGCCATATGACTTAGAAGTATCACCTTATCTTCACTTTATCTTTATCAATTCTTTTTTGTCTAAGACAAGTATCATTTACCTTGAATGATGTTGTTTATCAAGTTATGTGACTTTGCTTGGGTATGAAGTTTCATCTTCATTCTTGGTTACTCTTAAACATAATCTTGATTTAACTTACTATACAAGTCACACATTCCATAATTCTCCATTTGATCTATACTTGCTTAAATTGAACATGCTTGCTTGCCTCCTTTGGCCACTTCCTTTATTTGCTATGTATGCATTCTTTTCCCCGTGATTGTGATGTTTTAATGTGTGATCTTAGATATCATTTTATACTTACTTGTGTGCTTTGATACCCTCTAAATATGTCCCCTCTTAATCTATCCATTTCTTGTGCTTCCCTCACCTCTAAGAACATGTTAAGGTGTGATTTTGACCTAATCTTGTACCAACTTTTAAATTTGGTTGAGTATTGATACCTTAAGGGAATTAGAGGTCATTGATATGTGTTATATTTGTGTATTTTGTTTTTAATTGACTCTCACTTGACATATTATGCAATTATCACACACTTATTCTCACTTCACATCACAACTTTGATTGAATCTAGTTTGTGTGCCTTGGTGTTTGAACTATATTTTCAATGGCTAATTGGATTTTTTCATGACCATGAGATGCGTTCTAAAGTATATAATATGTCTATGTTCATCTCTTTTTTTCTTCATTCACTCTTCTTTTTCAACTTGTTTGCTTGCTAGCATTACATGAGGACTTATGTCCACTTAGGGTGACTGTTATCTTTTCTTTGTATAATTTTAATATGAATCTTTCTCAAATGTGTTTATGTGATGATGATTATTTTATTATGTTATAACTTCTTACTTTTACACTTCTTCATCTATCTCACTTCAATTCACTTTCTTATGCCATGCTTGGTTAAACATTTGACACATGAATGCTCCTATGCTAGTGTACTTGCCTTTTTGCCTTTTTTGTGATCCTTAGATCTCTACACTTTAAATCATGACCCTTAGGGATGTATTTACATCCTCTTGATGCTATATTGTTTCCTATCCATGGTTTTCCACTTACTTGTTGCTCAAGTATTATCTTGTCACTTGTTTGAGTTTTATCTCTTTTCATCATGTGAACTTGTCTTGATTAGGTGATGTTTGTTAACATTAATCCATTAATAATGGTTTATAAAAGTATTTAAATAATGATAGACTTATTTATCTACCTCTTGTCTTATATTTTTTTGATGCTTTTTAATGTATTGAAGTTTTGTCTTCTAAATGCACATTTACACTTCTACTTGTCTAGTTAGACATTTTCTTCATCTTTTTAACCCATGTTGCCATGCTTAGGGTAATCTAAGGTTTATATCATGCTAGGACCATTACTAACACCCTAATTTTATGTGCTTTTATTCCATGCTCTTTTTATTTCTTATCATTGCTCTATTATCCCCCTTCTTCACTTCTTCAAGTATGTTTTTGAGATCTTCATCTCTTTTGTGTTTTACCACATGAATTTATGTGTTTAATGATGTTTTATAATAATTCTATTTTCTTTTATAATTTATGTTTTGCCATCTTAATGCATGTATGCTTGATGTTTTACCATCTATTCCTTTGATTTAACACTTGATATATTATCATCTTGGTGTGATGTCTTATCATATCTTTTCTGTCTTATTTTGATGACATGATATCATTGTTAGGTGTTGATGTTTTATCATTTCTTGTCTCTTATCTATCCTACTTTTATGACTTGATATCATTGTTAGGTATTGATGTTTTTCCGTCTCTTCTTCTATTCTTGATTACTGCATAGGTTTCTACCTAATTGCATGTGTTTATGTTTATTTTCTTTCACTCTCTTATGATTGATTGCTTGCTTTCTTATTTTTCTTCTTCTATTTTGTAAAATTTCCATGTTCCCACGAGATCTTAAGTTCGTTCTTCTCTAATTTTGAACTAAATAGACCATAGGTTTGCTATTCATGCATGATAACATTAGGTAGATCTCCCTCTTATCCTAAATTTAGATCCACAAGCATGACAACTTATAGGATTTAGATCCCCTTTTGACAGTCTTTTCTCTTTTGCATCCATGTTAAAAAAAACTCTTTTTCTTTCAAACTTCAAATCACTTAATAAATAAATAATGAGAATCACACTTCTGTTAAGCAATGAAAATGATAAGCGGGTTTCTTCTCGATCTTATCATTCTTTTATTCTTAGTCTTTTGTATGATTCAAATCTCAAAGACTCTTTTTATTGATAAGTGGAGAAATGGATAATATCTCTCTCTTAAGGTCAACTAGCTATTATCCATAGCAAAAATACCAACCAATGACAAACCTTTTTATCTTCGGACTTTTTCTTTTAAAAGCTTTTCAAAAAGGACATGCTTCTCTAGCATCATTCATAAAAAATACACAATAAATCAAAACACCTTTTTAGATGAACTGTGAGTGCCCTAATCCTCTATTGCATGAAGGGGGTACGTAGGCACTAAACATTCGCAACCATTACAGCCACAACTAATAAAAAATTTCTTTTTGTATATACTTTGCATGCATTACCTTTAAGAATTAAGCTTTAGGCCATAAATTTTTATACACCCTTAGATTAGAATAAACTTGAGTGGATCCTGTGGAGTACCACAGACATGAGGGGTGCTAATACCTTCCCCTTACATAATCGACTTCCTTACCCTTTCTCTTGGTCGTGTGACCATGTTCTTTCCATCCTTTTGGTTCACTAATGTTTCCTATCCATCTCTTGGGATAAATAACGTTGATGGCGAATCTTCTTTTCTGCCACGTTCGCGCTTCGATGAAAATCCTAGACGCGACAATTATCAACTACACTCTTTATCATGGATTATGACTCACTTTGTTTGCCCCATTATATGGGGATATGTTGTTTACATTGTATCATTGTGAGTGACATTGAAAGGCGATGGATTTATGATACATGTTTTTTAGCCATATTAAAACAATTTAAATCAACCCACAATAGGATATTACATTTCATGAACAGTTAGCATTTTTTTTGTATACTTCTTAATATATACACTAATTACTAGTTTCATTTCTTAAATGATGGTTAAATTTTAAAATAGTACACACACACACACACACACACACACACACACACACACACACACACACACACACACACACACACACACACACACACACACACACACACATATATATATATATATATATATATATATATATATATATATATATATATATATATATATATATATATATATATATATATATATATATATATATATATATATATATATATATATATATATATATATATATATATATATATATATATATATATATATTTAAAAAATTACACTAAATTAAAATATTTATTTTTGAAATGATATATATAAAATATTATTAATTATAGAAGTATAAAATGCAATAATCATTTTTAGGCCTCAAAACACATTGGATCAGCCCAACGCACACCCACACACACTTTATCCATAAAATTTCATATAAATTTATGATTTGCATTCACTTCAACCCTAGTAGCAAGGATCAACATCGTTTTTCATAATGGAGGTGATCTCCTTCTCCCTTCGACCTATATTTCATTGGTATGAGTATCTTTTATGATTGATCTATCATTCTTTCACTTGTATACTTGTTTAATGAATTGATCATAGCTATATGCTGGTTCATAACATATAATTTATGATTTTATTATAAACTTTCCACTACCACTATATGAATGCCAAAATCCAGTTCATCTATTTTGTTTTGTCAATTATTTTGTCAATATTTCCCAATATCATTTATTCTATTTAACCTTATGTTGTTTTTTCTCCATCCGATCCGTGAGCGAAAAACAAAATTTGGTTTGCAGACTACCATTACAAGCATAATTCAATGGAATTCATTAATCTTGTATTATATTTCGATGATATGCTCTCTAATGTTCAACCTAGATCTCAACCAGCCGTAATTTCCTTGATTAAGATGAGTGTAAGGGTCCATAATAAAAAGGTAACAATTATTATCTATTACGATCTTAAAACTAATTTCATATGGTTTTTGGAATATCTTTAAACATTTTATTTTAATATGCATATTGGATCTATATTCTGTTTTGTATGTGCTATAGATATACTTATATCATGAATTTATAAAACTACATTACTTTTAAATTTTGTATCTATACAATTATCTACCATTTTTTTCTTACCATAATATTGTCTATATGTACTAAATTTGTATTTAGAGAAACAAACTTGTTTGATATAATTGCAACAAATTTTTGTTGAAATTTTCTTTGTAAGTTTATAATTTCTTTGTAGGGACTATAAGTATTGTATGAAATATGAACTTAAGTTTTAAGATTGTTAATTATAGATATATTATTATGTGTAACACATATATTGGTTCATTAATAATTTAAATGGATCCATACAATTGGTATATTTGTCAACCAATGGATATATTCCTTCCATCATGTCATCATGAATGTAATCACCAATTCTAATCTTCTAAAAGCAGTGCAATGAAATATAATGAAATGTTTTCATTAGGATATGATTCTACTTTGGCATTGTTATTTTATTCTTTATAATTGTGCTCTGGTTTCAAAATTTCCCAGCCACCCTCTCCTTCTCCCAATGTATTCAAAGTAGCAGCAATCATTCCTTGCAGGAAGCATAACACCATCAATCGCATTACACGGTGCTACCTGCAACCACCCAACCAGCCATCATTGTATGATTGTAAGCAATCTGGTATCTTTAGAAGTATTATGAATATCTTCCATTTAAACCTGTCTCCTTTGTTCCTTCTTTCTAAACCTTTAGTATTCCATGCAGCTTCTTTTAGTACCCCCTTGCCACTTAAGTTCATGTTCTAGAGTTCTAGACTTTGTAGAAAGCCTTTCATGTTGCAAGTGACTATGGTTAAATTACAATGGAGCCATTGCACTGTGTTACATTAGAAGTTGGCACATAAACTATCATATTCTCCAACCTGAAGGTATTATATTAGTAATTTATGGATAAGAGAAGAATGATCATATAATTATAAGTCTAGAGGATCCAAGAGCATTCTTATATATTTTAGTAATTTTACCTGAAAGATAAAATTATTGTGTGCTTATGAACATCATGATAGAGTCTAATGGGTTTATCTAATATAGTGAAATGGGGAAGACTTTTCGTTTTAGTAGAAATTTCAAAGTTTAAATTTCAATGACATTAATCAATTTTTTTTGAAATACATTATTTCAAGCATCACTTTTCAGTCCTTGTATTCCTTAGTATCACACACTACACCAAGGGTGCATTTCATTTAATTTTTCATGTATCATAGTGCCATGCACTCATTGTACAAAAAAATAATTTTCTGCAGCATATGGCCTAAGCTGTGAGAATCCACTCACAAAAACTCTGTTTGGTTCAGTTTGTGGCTATGTACTTCTCATGAGTTTCTTACTTTTACTTGATCCACCTCCTTTGCTTGTTTATCAGGTAATTAATGAGTTAGAGATTGAACTTGCATCTGGAACATATTTGAAGCAAATCCAGGTGAGAAATAAAGGAAAAAGCTTAGTTGAAGTTAACCTGGTACCACTTGGTGAGAAATTTGACAACGTAATTGTAGTCTGATATCCTGAAGATTTTGGCACAAGAAAGTTCCTCTAAGTAGGAGTCTTTTTGGTGATTACATGGTCTTCAACACTACTTATCCAGGTAGGTAACTTTTTTGTTAATTTAAATAACATTTCATATTTTTCCTGTCATATGTTACTGCTTGGGACTAAAGTAATTAGTATCAGGGATGATATCATCTCTGTAGAATGGAACATCAACTGAGAGTAACCCCTTCCCAACAGAAGTTATGCAGGTCTCCCATTCAATGTCAACTTTAACGGCAGCAACAAGAAGGATGAGATGAATCTTAAAATCATAATCATCATTTTTGTATCTTCCATCTTACTCTTGTTGGGCATGGTTGGAGGAGCATTTTACATCATTTTTAAATGGAGGAAAGTAAGGATACCATCAAGTGTGTTTGGCCTACCATTCACACGGTCTCTAAACAAGAGATCTGGTACATTTTTAAACTTTATGTGTGTTTAATTTGTAAAATATTTTTCATATGCATTCATAGAAATTTTGAGGTTTTTTCAAAGCATTTGAAGATATTATTCCTTAGATTAAGCATGGTTCTTTTTCACTTTATTTAAATTAGTTCATTATACTCATCGTTAGAATTATGATCATGTCCCAAAGATTACGTCTGTTATATTAAATTTCTTGAAATGTAGCTGCAAAATAATTTGTTTATTTACACTTTTACGAATTCATAGTTGTATGACCTTTGAATTTTAATTTATCTATACATCGTTTGATCATTACATGTCTATTCTATCATAGTTCAATTAGGTTTCACTGATTTACATGTATGCTTTCTAGTGCTTTGCTTTTATACAACAATTATAAAGTTAATTTTTTGACCAATTGATATTATTGTTACTTGGGGACATCACTCTAGTTTTTAAGGCTTATTTGAATAACCTTCTTATAAAGAGAATTATTCTTGATGGGAATCCTCTAAGATCATAGGCATGCTACATCCTTATTTACATATGTTCAACCAAACTGACAATGATGTCTATTTTACAAGATTTATAAGATCAGCGGGAATTTATTTGATTTAATAGGTTATATTGATAACCTGTGATCCAAAAAATAAAGTAGTGAAGTTAAATTGTTTTCTCATTTATGTTTAGAAAATCATATTTATCTATTTTGTGGACTTCTGTTATTGTGTGGGATGTATAAATTGTAGATAATATGGTACATGGCTTCATGAATTAATGGCAAAAAATTTGATATCTTGGACTATTTCCTGTCTACTTTGTCCTATAAATCATATCAGAACTGAGGTTAAATATAAATGGGTGGTTGGTTGTTTTGCAGCCATGGAGTCTACATTGTCTAGAAGAATGACAAGCTCAAGATGGAAACCATGAATTTAATGTGGAAGTTGAGATGCTATACACATTGCATCATCATAATATTGTGAAACTAATTGATATATGCACAGAAGGGACCCAATAATGCTTGTTGTACGAGCTTGTTCTCAATGGTAGTATTGAGTCTCATTTGCATGGTAAATGGTGACATGTTTTCTCCGTCCATATGTTAAGTGTGTGGGTATAGTTTTTTTTTTAAGGTGCTCTTGAATTATATGTTTTTTAAGTGAGGTTTTTAAGAACAACTCAATACTTCACTTGAACTTATATACTACACTTGTTGTTGCTCAAACCCAATTATTTCTCTTATAGACACCATATTCATAACCCACTTGGATAATCATATTTTTCTTATCACTAGACTATTAGCTTAGCATCACCGGTCATCAGTCATTGCGATATGTTTGGCAATAATATTAATAGCTATTTGAAAGTAAGTTATATTGAAAGTTAGTATATGTGTTTAAGTTTTCCTATGTTGTGTGGAGTAATGTATTTTAACATCGTAAAGTAGTTTTTATGAATTAAATTATGTAGAATCAAAATAATTTAACCAATCAAACTATTTAAAACAAAATTTCTTCTGAATTTTTTTGTATGTGAGACAATACAATGATGGAGAATAGATCAATCTAATGTAAAACTTGTTGTCATATTTTCCATTTAAAATGCATTCACCTTAACACATGCTAACATTTTCTATTACAAATACTATATTTTACAAGATCTTTATTTAATCTTAAGGTGTGACTATTGAAAATTTGTTTCACTTGGTGTCATTACCATGTATCAGAATAATGGTAGGGTAATACTTTGTCTTTTTTTATTTATTTTTATTTACTCTTTTCCAAATATTATGCTTTCAATGTTAATTCTTAAATAAAAGGATAATTTTTGGTTTCCCATGCCTAAAACGGGTGGTTGATGTGAAATTGGAGATAATGGAATAAATTTAGTTTTACTTTTCTAGTCTCTGCAGTAAATACTTTCCATGACATGCATTATTTGTCTCCAACAAATTAACAAAACTCTTTATGACTGAGTTATTCTAGTTTATAATTTAAGATCATTGTTTTGTAATATCTCTAACTAATTAAAACTTTCTTGAATAAAGTTGATCTTACTAAAAAATATTTCAATGAAATGAAAAAAAAAAGTGTTTTCATTTGGATACGATTATACTTTGACATTCTTATTTCATTCTTCCTATTTGTACTTTCATTTCAAAATATCAATTGCATTCCAAGGCGCTACCCGTGACCATCCTACCAACCATTATTACTAGTTTTTATGCAATCTAATATCTTTAGCAGTATTATGAGAAACCACCATTTGAATCCATTGGCCATACGATATGTATGACAATAGTATTCATAATTATTTTAAATAAAATACCAATTAAAATTGGAAAATCAGTTTAAATTTATTGAATGTTTAATAGGTATGTTTTAGTTTTTCAATGTGGTGTGAAGCCATGTATTCTACCCTCGTGAAGCAGTGTTTATGAATTAACTTATGTAGATTCAAAATTATTTAACTAATCTAACTCTTTAATAAAAAAATTCTTTTGAAAAACTTTATATGTGATATATACAATGATGACAATAGATCAATTTAATGTGAAAATTGTTGTCATGTTTTCCATTAAAAATTAATCCACCTTAACACATGCTTACATTTTCTATTACAACTACTATATTTTACTAGTACTTTATTTATCCTTAATGTGTGAATATTGATATTTTATTTCACTTTGTGTCATTACCGTTGTGGGATTTTGGATCGAACTCTAGTATGATCGAAGTGCATGCTGTAGTCGAAGAAGGGTCTAGCATGTATTTGTCGAAGAATGCTTGTTAAATTAGGTTTTAGTGTTTAAACCCTAATTTGTTAAGTTAGCTTGATTATTAAGTTAGCTTGTATAATGGGCCTTGTGGAAAAACCCCATTAGTTAGTATGTTAGGTTTTATTATAAATAGCATACTAGTCTCTCATCATTGCAACACAGCAAATCCTAAATTAGGGTGAGAGGGTTATTTGTTATTCTTGTAAACTTGTAATCTTGTTTTCTAAGAGAAAGTAAAGAATAGCAGTTATAACCAATTCTTGTGTTCTTCTTCTTCCTTGTTCTTTATTCTTCCCTAATTCTATACTTTATTATTGGCATTGAATTCACAACAAATTGGTGCGGTGAGCGTGGAGAAGATGCCTTCAACAAAGTATGAGATTGAAAAGTTCACCGGAGTGAATGATTTCGGTCTATGGCGCTTGAAGATGAAAGCCCTACTGGTTCAGCAGGGTTGTTTGGAAGCGTTGAAGGGAGCGACGGCGATGGACGCTGCGTTAACAGAAAGAGAGAAGACGGCCATGATCGAGAAAGCACACAGCGCAATTTTGTTGAGCCTTGGTGATAAGGTTCTTCGACAGGTATCAAAGGAGACGACGGCATCAGGGTTATGGGTGAAACTTGAAAGTTTGTATATGACCAAATCTCTGGTAAATCGACTCTACCTAAAGCAAGCTTTGTATTCATTCAAGATGATTGAAGACAAAGTGTTGGCTGAGCAGTTGGATATGTTCAACAAGCTGATTCTTGATCTTGAAAATATTGATGTAAAGATTGATGATGAAGATCAAGCGCTGTTATTGTTGTGTGCTTTGCCCAGATCACATGCTCACTTCAAAGAAACCCTCTTGTATGGAAGAGAGTCCCTGACCTTTGAAGAAGTTCAATCAGCTTTGTACTCTAAGGACTTGAACGAACGTAAGGAGCATAAACCTTCGACGGTTGGTGAAGGTTTGGCTGTTAAAGGAAAATTTGACAAGAGGAAAGGTAAAAATCAGTCGAAGTCTTATAGTGGTGACGCATCTGGTATTAGATGCTATCACTGTAAGAAAGTAGGTCACACAAGAAAGGTGTGTCCTGAACGCCTGAAAGACCATGGAGGTAAGGATAATGGCAACGCAGCTATTGTCCAAGATGATTTCGAATCATCTGATGTTCTTGTGGCTTCAAGCAACAACTCGTCGAAGGAGTGGATTATGGATTCTGGATGCACTTGGCACATGACTCCAAACAAAGACTTGTTCGAGGAATTATGTGATCAAGATGGTGGATCTGTATTGCTGGGAAACAACAAAGCTTGCAAGATTGCAGGCGTTGGATCTGTGAGATTCAAGCTCCATGATGAGTCAATAAGATTGTTGACTGAAGTCAGGTATGTACCTGATTTGAAGAGAAATTTGATTTCTCTTGGTGAATTCGACAAGAAAGGATATGTGTTTCAAGGAGAGAAAAGTATCCTGAGAGTCATGAAAGGGTCGAAGGAAGTCTTGAGAGGCGTGAAGAAACAAGGCTTGTATACCCTTGAGGCTGAAGTTGTAAGTGGTTCGACAAATGTTGCATCCACGAAACCTTTGTCGAAGACAGAAATTTGGCACATGAGATTGGGCCATGTCAGTGAAAGGGGTCTGGTTGAATTAGGGAAACAAAATCTGCTTGGTGGAGATAAAGTCGAAAAGCTGAAGTTTTGTGAACCCTGTGTACTTGGAAAGTCCTGTAGAATGAAGTTCAACAAAGGCAAACAAAGAACACATGGATCCCTTGATTACATCCATGCTGATCTTTGGGGGCCTGCAAGGTGTCCATCACATTCAGGAGCAAAGTATTTTCTATCCATAGTAGATGACTATTCCAGAAAGTTATGGGTATTCATCCAGAAGACTAAGGATGAAACTTTTGAGAATTTCAAAAGTTGGAAGACTCTTGTCGAAAATCAAACTGGCAGAAAGGTAAAGAGGTTGAGAACCAACAATGGCCTTGAGTTTTGCAATGAGGCGTTCGACAGTTTTTGTGTTACCTCTGGTATTGCAAGGCACAGAACTACCGCAGGTACTCCACAACAAAATGGTTTGG